CTTATGGCGGTCACTTTGCTACCTTCAAGACAGTACAGAAGGTTCTCCAGGCCGGCCTTTGGTGGCCTTCCATGTTTAAAGATGCACATGGATTCATTGCTAAATGTGATCCCTGCCAGAGAATGGGGAACATAACTAGGAGGAACGAAATGCCACAGACCCCGATCCTGGAAGTTGAAGTCTTCGACGTTTGGGGAATTGATTTCATGGGACCATTTAATCCTGCTTCCTATGGTAATAAGTACATCCTAGTTGCTGTGGACTACGTCTCCAAATGGGTTGAGGCCATTGCATCTCCAACCAATGATCATAAAGTGGTCTTAAAGCTGTTCAAGAGCATCATATTCCCCAGATTTGGTATCCCTAAGGCTGTGATCAGTGATGGAGGTTCTCATTTCATCAACAAGGTCTTTGAGAGTCTGTTAAAGAAGCACGGTGTGAAGCACAAGGTAGCTACTCCTTATCACCCTCAGACTAGCGGGCAAGTAGAAGTATCCAACCGACAGATCAAAGCCATACTTGCTAGAGTTGTCGGTGTTTCAAAGAGAGACTGGTCTACCAAGTTAGATGATACACTTTGGGCTTACCGGACTGCATACAAGACGCCGATAGGAAGGACGCCATTTCAGATGCTGTATGGGAAGTCATGTCATCTTCCAGTTGAGGTAGAGTACAAAGCAATCTGGGCTACTAAGTTGCTGAACTTGGATATCAAAGAAGCTCAAGAGAAGAGATCTGTTGACTTGCACGAACTTGAGGAAATAAGGCTTGAAGCTTATGAGAGTTCAAAGGTGTACAAGGAAAGAACAAAAGCTTTCCATGACAAGAAGATTTCACCAAAGGACTTCAAGGCTGGAGACCAAGTGTTACTATTCAACTCCAGACTCAAGCTCTTTCCCGGAAAGCTCAAGTCTAGGTGGTCAGGTCCTTTCACTATCAAAGAGGTTCTACCATTTGGTGCGGTATCGCTATTTACTAAGGACGGGTCAGAGTTTAAGGTGAATGGTCAGCGGCTTAAGAAGTATCTCGCAGATAGCGTCATTCCTGAAGGATCTACGGTTCATCTTCAGGAACCTCAACTCGCCTAAAAGAGTAGTAAAGTCAAGCTAAAGACTTTAAACAAGCTCACTTGGGAGGAAGTCCCATGTCTATCCTTGTAAATATTAGTTATTTCCTTGTTATTTTTGATGTTTTTGCTTAAGTGTCTCAGGATAAAGCGTTTTAAGGAAGCCAAGGCGCAAAACAGAATGGGTGGCCTTGTCTCGACCTGCCCTACTCGACTACAAGTCGAGCTTGCCCCTTGGTGTCACTCCAAACCAATACCGAAGCCCTACTCGACGTACTAGCTCGACCAGACGTCGAGTTAGCCCATGAAGCCCATAAGTACCAGGTCAATCACCTCCTTTTTCACCCATCCATGAGGTAACAACTCCAATTCACCATTGTATATACCACATTTCATTTTGTTTCTCTGTTGGTTTGCCCTGAGTACTCTCTTCCAAATGCTTGTTACACAGAGGACTGTGTAATTTAAGTTTGGGGGAGGGCTCAGGGAGTATTTGACATTGTGTTTTGTTTTCTTATTTCAAATTTTGCATCATTGCATCTAAGGCATAGAAAAACCATAAAAATTTGAAATTTTTCGAAAATGATTTCACAAAAACAGAGTGTTCATATAGCTTGCATTGTCATTTTAGGATTGTTTTAGTATGCTTTCACTTAGGGCTGTTGCATCATGCATTTGCATTGGAGATTATGATGATTATAACCTTGTAAATATGCCTATCCACTAAGTAGAACTCAGTGCCCTGGTTGTTAGTTCTCTAATGCATAATCGACTGAACTTGAAGTAAGACCGCACCATCTTTTGAATTCAACGCTTAACTTTCTTGTTTTTAGTCGAATCTCGCTTTGATCTGATGCCATTCCCTATCTATTTGAACTTGAATTTTGACTTATAATTATCATGCTGTGCATTGTGCTATGAACTCATGGATACCTTAAAATACTTGGACTTTCTTTTACCTTTTGATCACTCTTGCTAGTCCAAGTAGCTGACTCCCATCTTTGGAGCAGTTATTCCCCACCCTTAGCCTTAACCTTCTTTCAAGCCATTTATCATTTGTGTGTGAATGTGAGGCCTTATTCCGATTGAGCTTGGTAGAAAGTGTTAGGTCTGTAACGACAAGGATAGTATCTCATGTAGTTCTGGTTCACGTTATCTGGACCAGATAGGACTAGGTGGGTGCTTAATTCTGGGTTTGGGTTGTGTTTAAAAGAAAGAAAAGGTTGTGTTCATCATTGAAAGAAAAGAAAAGGGAAAAGAGTCCTAAGGAGAAGTAGCTAAAGTAAGAGAAGTCTAGTAAAGGATTTGGGTGTGCTATAAAGTAAAGGAAAAAAGGGGTTCTGTAAATAGCTTAAAGAGTTTGGGCAAAAGCCTTGTGTTTATAGGAAGAAAGAAAAGGGAACCCTAGTTGTTAAAGAAACCTGATCCGCTAGACAGAGCAGTAAGAATGCAAAAGGGTAGAGTTAAGTTCATGATTCTGGGATTAGAAATAGGACCTCTATTTGGGTTGATATTGATTACATTCTGGGTAGATGGGGTCTTATCCTTGTATGCATAACTTGATACTCACCTTTAGCATTCTACTAAAGCTCAATCATTCTTGAGAGATCCCCTGTTACGATTTAAGCCTGATCTTTAAGGGACCATCTTTGTCTCTAAAACCTTTACCCTTTAGCCAAATGTGTTCATATCCATTGCATAGTATGATTCATGGTTCCAACTTAATGAATGTTAAAGGGAATGTGCAGATTTGAATGCTTGATTTGATTAAGGCAGAGGTTAGGTTGAGATGTGAAGGAGATGGCTAATGTTTTTAAGTAGGGATCAGTCAACCTTGCATTCTAGAATTAGCAACCTGGACATTGAATTCACTTACTCTATATGCATGTTTTGGTTCTGAGTCTCCACCTTCAAACCTCTTCTCCAGCTTGGTTCTATCTGTTTGCTTGAGGGCAAGCAAGAGCTAAGTTTGGGGGAGTTGATATCTCTGTATTTTACCTCTTTTTAGCACACATTTCTTATGCATTTAGCTTAGTTTCCTCTCTGTTTCACTGCATTAATATTCCTTTTTCATAAGATTTTCATCACTTAGTACGATTTGCATTGCATGGCATAGCATGTTGCATATTGGATGAGTTTTAGGTACTTTGGAGCTTATTTGGGACTTAATGGAGCAAGGAGGAACCAACACGACCTTGGAGCTAGACTTGGGATCGAATTGGAGAAGAATGAAGTCGTTCAAGATCACCTGGGAGCAGTCTCGACGTGCAGACTCGACGTCACGTCGAGATGGACACCAAGAAGCAGCCTGGGAGCAGTCTCGACGTGCAGACTCGACGTCACGTCGAGATGGACACCAAGAAGCAGCCTGGGAGCAGACTCGACCAGACAGGCTCGACGTCACGTCGAGATGGACATCAAGGCGCCACCTTTGAGAATCACTTGGTCTCGACGTGGCAGGCTCGACGACACGTCGAGTTGGCCTCCACCGACTCTCTATTTTGTCCTGTAGCCAATTAGGGCAACCTAGTATTTCCTATAAATAGGGGTACATGCTATTGTCCAAAGGATATCCCTTTTACCCAGCAGATATTCTTCTTTTCTCTCATAAACCCTAGTTTTTGTAATCGTTTTTCCTGTTGATCCTTTGAGTTTTTGGATTTCGTTTCTTCATCAACGTTGTAGATCTGCCTCTTATCTATAACATACTTGCTTTTTAATGATTTCTGGGTTTGAAACGTTTTCTGGGTTTTTATGCATGATGTTCTTCAGTGTTCTTGAGTAGTGGATTAGGGTTTTTGAGGATGGGATAGATTAGGTGTGGAATCCTTAGTATATTTAGGTGGTTAAGTGTAGAATTGCTTGATTTCCCTTCTGGTTTAGTAGATCTTAATGCTACTTCCTCTCTGATCAATTGGAAGTTGATCTCAGACATTTCCACACCCAAAAGGTGTTTGATGAAATGTCTGAACCAACTATTCCAGAGATTTGCATACTCTAGCCCAAGAGATTGGATGTTTAGAATGCTTATTGACTCTATTAGATTGAATCTTAATGCCTGCTAGATTATATTTCTTCAATGAGAATTGAGTATGAAAGTGATTTAGCTTGAGAATCTCTGTCACGAGAGTGGATTGATTTGTATTCGAATCTATTGTCTAGGGATAGCTTGATTGAGTTTGTTAACCACCTAGGTAGACTAAGGAGACTGCCATAATCGATTACCCCATTCCTCAAGACCCTTTATCTCTATTGATTGTTTAAATCTTGTTTCTGTTAGTCTCTGTTGACCATCTCGACCTGTTAGGCCTAGATCGTTTCTCTGCATTGTTAGGTTGCTAGTTTCTTTTCCAAAGCTTATGCATGATAGTTTCTGGTCTTTAGTTTACTTCTTGCTCTTGTTTACTTGCTGTTTAGTTCTCTTTTATTGCTTTTAAATTCGGTATTTGCATGTTAAATTGGTTGCTTAGGATCAATAGAAACACACAAAACCCTTTCACAATTGGCTTGACTTATTTGCTTTCTGTTTCATATCTTGAATGCTTGCAGTCACACTGAGATTGGATTGATAACCTAATATACTACAATGGCATGTGTATTAGGGATTGATACATGTTAGAGATAGACAAAATCTGACTATCAATATTCTCTATAAATCTCTTTGATTAAGTAATAAGAAACATTATTTATAAATTTGACCATTAGCTATGTTACTTTCATCTTCATGAGTTGTTTTCACTATGTGCATGTCTCCTTTGGTCATTGATTCATATGTGTGTTTTGGCCACAGTTCCGTCTATTCAATTGCGGTTTTCTTGGTCTAGGTATTTCAATATCAGGAAGCCAAAAGAAAAGAGCTTCCTTTTAGAGCAAGCACTTCCTATATTTCATCTCTTTGTCTTTTAAACTCCTTATTGTATTTTGTGTTTTTCAGGAAGACGTCGACATCTGATGAACCTAAGCCAAAGAGACTTAGAAAGGCCAAGGATACGAAGACGAGCTCTTCTATCTTAAACATGCCCTAACAACCTCTTACGGCTTCTTTATCTTCATGTAATGTTCATCGTTTCACACTTACTTTTGTTGATAGTTGTTTACTCTTTAGGGATGTTGCTGATGTTGCCTTTCACTTTGCAGGAATGAATTCTGTCATTCTTTTAGACGAGAGCATCTAAGTTCTCTCATTAAGGATGTAAGACTTTAACTGTGCTCATTGCTATGCTTAACTCCTACGTTTAGTGTTTATGAGATTTTACCTAACTGTGCTATTTATATATGATTGTAGGTTTCAAAGATCGGTGGTGAAAAGTGGAATTCTATGACTGGGGAATTGAGTTGCTTTATTATCTTGTTTATTCTTTAGTTTCATGGTGATTTGTTTACTCTTTGTACTTTGAGATATTAGTACTCTTGTTGTGTATAAGAGTAGTAGTTGAATTTTTGTATAAGACTTGTTATATATGTTTTTAATAATTTATGTAATAAAAATAAATTATATAAATTCAATTAAATAAATCTTGCAAAATAGGGTTCAAATATACAATTATATATAAATTAAATTAAATTTGTATAGCGAAACAAATATGCTATAATACTATATAAAACAGCACTAAACGTGTGTTACAATAAAGTATATTAGAGCATTCGATTAGTGCTATAATAAATCGACATTTAATAACATATCGAAAAACGCTATCGTATATAGGGGGTCTACCATAACAGGGGCATAAAACAGCGTTTATGAAAACGCCATTAATGACGTATTATAGCTTTTTTCTCATGCTAACAATGTAGATATTTCTTGTAGTGTCATAAACTACTTTTTTTTTTTTACACAGCAAAGTGGTGTTGACATGCGAGGCTTTAGGGCAGACCGCTATAGATTTTGAAGAAAACTATCGCCAATATGGTTGTATCAATATGATTGTTGCACTAGGTTGGTGGAGGGTTGTGAGGCCAAATAGGAGGGCTAATAATGTGAAGATTGTGAGTCATGGATCAATATCAAAAAATTTTCCCGAACCACACATAGAAGAAGTTGAAGAAATCAAAATGATGATTGATTAATGGGAGAGAGAAGAAGTTGAAGAAATCAAAAACTCTTATTTTTTATTTAATTATTGATTAAATTTTATGTAATATTTCTCGAATATTTCTCGAATAGCTATTACCGTAAAAATTTATTTTGTGTTTTGACCATCCAATAGTTATGGATGATTCTCATATTTTAAGAAGCTATTCTTATACCACATATTTTAATTAAATTTAGGATATCCATCGACAAGTATCCACCAAAAATCATACATAAACCCTATACTCTAAACCCTAACCAATACATCTTTAAATAATATTCCTAAACCCTAACTATAATTTGATTCTCGTTAGTGTATTTTTCATCATTGTTTCTTGTGGTTTGGTAAAGTTTTTTAGAAGGAAATTTATTTAATAATTAATAAAAATATTAAGAGTGTTAGTGTTATGGTGGCATGCCCTAGACTAAATTGAAAAATACAGTAGAGAAGTTGATGTAGGCTTAGGTGTAATGATTCCAGAGTAGCACGGGTGTAGCAAATCGAAAACTATAATGGTAATATATTGGGTAGGAGAAACTACCGCCAAAAAAGTTAAAATACCATGGGTTGTGGTTGAATCGATATCCACATGGATTGTACTTATTTCTATTTGTTTATTCTATTCCTTAATATTCGAGAATTGCGCAGCTCAAAGATTTTAAGAATCTGACGCAGGCTATACTGTTCAAAGGGTAGGTAACATCGTTGTCATGTCTCATAAATGTAGAAATGTAATATGAATAATTATTTAATTTTTTCATAAATATCTTTAAACAATTATTATTCGTCATAGCATGTCCATCTTACGTCAATCCACGACTTTTAATCCAATGAAAATAAAATGAATTTTGGAAAATTAACAAAGCTTACACCGTAGAATATCGGGAGGGAGTTTTCCCGCCAAAACAATAGAAACACCAAGGGGAGGGATAAATAGAATATCCACGTGGATTGAATTTAGTTATTATTGTTGAGTATATAAGTTAACTTAAAAAGATATTAAGGATTTGACGCAAAATATGTATTGGTAACACATACCAAGGAAGTGAAAAGTAAAAAGATTTTCATCGTTGTCAAATCTATGAATTGAAAACAAATTTTTATCAATCACTAATATTTCTAAAACATTTTACTCACCATTTTTACCATGATTTTAAAGCAACGATTAATTATTGTTTTTTTATGAAGTCATCAACCCGTTTATACTCAGCATATATATCAATTCATCTCGTATCCACAACATTATATCCATGTATATATATATATATATATATATATACATATATATATATGGTAATCCAATGAATATATTATCAAAGCGGGGAATTAGCTAGCAACACGAGTTTAGGTTAAACATGGGTGACTCTATAAATAGGACATAAACCATAACACAACCTATCCAAAGTGAAATTTGTTTTGTAATTCTGATTATGATTGGAGATTCACAAGAAAGCTTAACTATGAGTGGTGTTCTCGAAAGCAATGAAGAGAGCGAGGGTTCAAATGTCATTGAGGTTGTTGTAATGTGTTTTTAGAATAATGCTTATGTAAGAATGATAGTTTAAAAATCTGTTTTAATTTTGTAGGAGATTCCAATGAGGGAATTTCACATTCCTCAGCCGTTAATGGAAATAATCGTGAGTAAGGTTGGTGAAGATGGTGTTGATGCGTTGAAGAACTTGTTGCTCGCTGGGAGAGAGGGGAAGGATGTTGTTCTGTCGAAAAAAACCTTAGCATCTGTTCGCATCGACATGGACAATCATTTCATGTGGTGGTCAATGCCACATTCAAAGTACTACACTTTCTTCCAAAAGTGTCTTGCCGCGAATAATCCATATGCGAAGTTTGTAGAGAAGAACAAAGGAGTGGCTTATGAGTCGACGATAGGGTATTTTCAAATGAGATGCCGTTGGAAGGTCTGCCGCAATAAACGCTGCGGGGGTTTGATGAACCTGGATGACATGAAAAAGTGCGTGGTGCAGCCACCTTTTAAGCGGGAAAGAACTGGGAGGCCAAGGTGCCGTATGTGCAACAAAGCTGGGCACAGGTGTATGGATTAAGGATTGTAGGATGTTGCCGGGATTATGGGGAAGAGTTCATGAATATTATGATCTATTTTTTTTTGGAATGTTATTTGGTTATAATCCAATATATAAGCGGGATGTTGTTTTTGGTTACCTATTAGTTTAAAGTTGAACGGGAATGTAAAACTTTTAAGATTGTTGGGATGTTTTTGTTAATTTTGATGTAAGAACATTGTTTTGCTGTCCATGTAATGTTATCCATTTAATAGTTAATTTTCTATTTGAATTTTGTTTGACTCCTTTTTATATTATATTTGGTTATTGTAATATATTATAATCAATTAGATATTATCCATATAATCATAAATTAAAAATTTAAAACGTTTAAATAAAATTTAGAAAAACTATTTCCACCTCTGTCAAACCTTTTAATATCAACGGGGATTTAGTAAGGTAAGAGCGGAAAAATTCACGCCAAAACAATATCCACGTGGATTGCATTTGGGGTATTTTTGTTGATTATATTGGGAAATATTTTAAAGTGTCAAATTTAAAATATTTAAAAAAGAATATGACCTCGTTGTCATGTCTCATAAAGTAAAACAAATTTTTAGGAACAATTTAAATTTATAAATTATATTTATAGAATTAGAAGCCAAATTTCAAACCAACGTCGTAAACAAAGAAATGGTTTTTATGAAGTAGTAAATCCATATCCATTGCCACAACCCGTGTAGCAACTCGTAACCACAATATTAAATCCATGTGTAAAGATATTGATATTTTAAGAGAACTCATATTTTAATCCAATAGAAATAAAATAAATTAAGCGAATTAGCCACCATTATGAGGTAAGGTTAAACATATAGGTTTAATAAAGTCTATAAATAGGATATAAACCGAAACACAACCTAATCCAAATATCAGAAATTTGCATTTCTTGTTAAAATGGGCGATTTACAAGAAAGCTTAACGATGGGAGGTGTACTCCAAAGCTATGAGGAGAGCGAGGGTTCAAATGTCATTGAGGTTGTTGTAATGTGTTTTTAGAACGATGCTTATGTAAGAATGATAGTTTAAGAATCTGTTTTAATTTTGTAGGAGATTCCAAGGATGGAATTTCACATTCCTCAGCCGTTAATGGAGATCATTGTAAGTAAGGTTGGTGAAGATGGTGTTGATGCGTTGAAGAACTTGTTGCTCGCTGGGAGAGAGAGGAAGGATGTTGTTCTGTCGAAGAAAACCTTAGCATCCGTTCGCATCGATATGGACCATCATTTCATGTGGTGGTCAATGCCACATTCAAAGTACTACACTTTCTACCAAAAGTATCTTGCTGCGAATAATCCGTATGCATAGTTTGTAGAGAAGCACAAAGCACTGTGTTATGAGTCGACGATAGGGTACTTTCAGATGAGATGCCGTTGGAATGTCACACATGATAAACGCATGGTGGATGACATGAATGTGTGCGTGGTGCAGCCACCTTTTCAGCCCGGAAGGGTCGGGAGGCCAAGGTGCCCTAGGTGCAAGAGAGTTGGGCACAGATTCAACAGGTGTGTCGATTAAGTTATGGAGGATGTAAGCGGGATGTTGGTGTAGAGTTCATGAAAGTATGAGCAATGTTTTTTGATAAGTTATTTGGTTATAATCCAAGATGTAAGCGGGATGTTGTTTTTAGTTACCTAATACCTTTAAGTTGCAGGGGAATGTATAACATTTAGGAACTTTGTTTGTGTCCATTTAATGTTATCCATATATTTCTTAAAGTTCAATGTCCGGCAAATTAAATATGGAATGAGATATTTTCTTTCGTCCATCTATTGTTATCCATATAAACGTTATTGTGCAATGTCAAACCTTTATAAAGTTTGTAAATATTTTGGTCAAATTTAAGCAAAGAATTCTAGTTTATGGCCATGGGTTATTATCCATATAATAGTAATAAAATATGTAAAAGCCCCGAGAAAATGTCGTTTTGATTGGTTTGGAAGCATGGTTGAAAAAATTATAGCCTGCCCATAGGAATAATAGGTTAAAAGTATCTCGTCCACAAACGAGCATCAGACGTAGCAAAAGGTATTGATGTGGAGTGTCACTCTTCAAGCATTACACAACAGATAATTCAATGTAAAAGGTGTCAGTATTGGCTAACGAGATGTATGTGGCCTAAAGCGTAGGAATAGGTTATAGGTACATAAATTAATGTTTTTATAATTATGGCTGAGTTGACAATTAGAAAGTTTAAATATATTTAATTGAATTGATGGCGTAAACGAAAGCTATTTAGCTTTTATTTTTTTTTTTCAAGAAATGGGACTGAAAAAGTGAAGTTGGGTTGAATAGAGTAATTATAGTTAACCGAGGAAACGGTGGAAACTACAACTATAATGGATGATCCTTTATAGATTGGGAATAGAATCTGTCAATTAAAATGCAACATTACATATATCATCACACAACAACTACTATGAAAATAGTTTTCCAAGTCCTAAAAAATTAAAAAGGAAAAAAATAAAACAATGAACACAGCGAAAACAACAATGTTTTTCATACATCTAAGTTGCGTTTTCAAGTCTTCAATATCTTTCTGAAGAACAGAATCACAGGCCCGCGTCTCTCTGACAAAGTGTTTATGTCGGAATCACAAATATTTAACCCTTTTTGCAATGTGAGTGTAGCACCCTCAATGTTATCCACTTTCTTAATCAACTCCTCAATCTCTTCTACCATACATGTATCCGTCCATTTGAACAAATGGTTCCTATTCTCCTGTGTAATCGGAAATTATTTCTGATATAAATGTAGCAAAAATAATATAAGATAGTTGATTTACTTACAGGGGATCCCAGAGGACATGCATGAAACAAGCGACCAGAGTTTCTTGGAGTTGCTGAGGTTTTCATCACAACTTCCTCGCCACAGGGGCAGAGTTTCGGGATACCTCCAAATCGATCTACCATTTTCTTGTTTGGACCTTTATGTTGGAGGAGAACAAAAGAAAATTCTGCTCTTCCGCTTCTTGTAAAGAGTTTTCTCAAACCAATTTCTTGTTATGATGAAATCCCTAGATTTAGAATTTATTCCTTTCTGACAATAAAAAAAAAAGAATTTATTCCTAAATTTGAACTACGTCGTTTTGGTGTAAGATGAGTATGAGTAGTTCTAATATTGTCTTAAAAAAGAAAAAACAAATTTGCCCATAAAGCATTTTGTTACATTATCTCATGTCATTGTAAGAGTCCATGAATACTAATCTACCAGTAACTGACATAATATAATTCGTAGTAATTAGTTGTCAAACATTATTTTGAATACCCAAAGCTGGTAAATCGGAAGATGTTAGCCGTGTGGTCTGTACTCAATGGATTATAAAACAGCGTATCAATAAAAACATTCATTTGAAAGGCAACTGCAGATAAAAATGTACAAGTGATTATCGAATGCCTTTATCGAATATCATTGTAAGAGTCCATGAATACAAATCCACAATCTACAAAATGAAATAACATTCGTAGTAATTAATTGTTTAACATTTACTTAGTACAAGACGCTGGTAAATCGGAATATATCAGCCGTGTGGTTAGTAAACAATGGATTGCAAGACGTGTATGAGTAAAAACTAGGGGTGGGCATTCGGGTAACCAGTTCGGGTTCGGGTAAAACCCGTTCGGGTTCGGGTTGAATGGGTAATGAATTTATGGTCCATTCGGGTATTCCTATGGTTTCGGTTCCGGTCCGGTTCGGGTACTGTCGGGTTCGGGTCGGTTTGGGTAATACCCGAAGTTTAAAATCACTTTACATACTCAAAGTCTCAAATGATCAAATAAGAGTAAATTCCAATCCAAAATCACATAAATCCGATTATTCGAAAATGAAAAACATAGAACAAGATAGAACAAGATCCGGTGATGCATAAATGATGAGTGATGACTTTGTTTTGAATCTTTCTCTCCTGACAAGAAAAAACAATCAAATGTTACTTACCTTAATCACTCAAAAGTCAAAACCATGAAAGTCAATGTAATTACTTACCTTAATCATTCAAAACCATGGATGTGGAATTCAGGTTCAAACTCTACATCACATTGACAAGTTAAACAGATTATAATCAAACTTTGAAACTGTAATTGGTAAGAAAAAAACTAAAAGAGAGTTCTAGGAAAAAAATTACCTCTCATAAGCTCATCTTCATCCACTTGATCTGCAAGCAGTTCTTTAATTGTTGACACTCCTCTTTCATTGATATGAATCTCAGATTTTAACCATTGCTCGGTGCACATCAACACTTCTATCATGTAATGTGTTAAGCAGCTTCTGAATGGATCTAACACTCTACCACTAGTGCTAAATGCAGATTCTGATGCCACAGAAGTCACTTGCATAGCGAATATATCCTTAGCTATTAGAGACAGAACTGGAAACTTCCCACTGTTGAGCTTCCACCATGACAAGACATCATACTCTATTCCTTTTAAAATTTGCGGAGTCTCCACAGCCTCATTCAAGTATAAATCCAACTCATTAGATGATTTATGAATACCTGTTTCTTTCACAATATCATCAAATAAGTTTTCTATATCCTCTAATATAAGACCATTACCCACGACTGTTTCAACTTGCTCTTGGGACTGAGAACACGCTCCTTGTGACTGAGAAGATGCCATTGAATTACTGCCTCCATTTTTATTCAACAAACTTGCTCTGCAATACTCATCATACAAATCCTTCAAGATTTGAATCACTGATTCTGAAAGAAGAGTAGCCTCTATACTACCTGTACCATACATCTTAGCAAAACAGAGCTCAGCAAATTTCATCTTCTTTCTAGGGTCAAAAACACTAGCAACCATCACCAACTTATTCATTTCAACTTGAGCACCAAACGGATCCCAATATTTCTTCACCTTTCCTAACATTGCTAATGCTTTCTTCTTAAGCTTTTCATCAGACTTTTTCTCTGTGTTTAAGGCAGTTAAGTTTCTAGCAATGTTGACTATCTCACTGTAGAGCTTATGAGAAGTAACATAAGTTGAACCTGAAAAGCAGCTGCATCCCAATCATCTGCCATAGGTGGTCCAATCCTTTTAGTTCCATCCACCTTTTCCTCAAAGTAGTCATTGTAGGGTTTATCCTCAGCCTCCATTTCCTCAAAAGCAACCCTAAACTGCACAGCTTGCTCTAGCATGAGATAAGTAGAGTTCCATCTGGTCTTCACATCTAAAGGCAAGCTACCTCTTTTTATCCTTTTAGCATCACAACGCAAATCAAATGATTTAAGTCTGTTTGTTGAAGACCTCACATACTGAACCCCATTGCGAATACCAACCACACTACTATTCACTTCATGCATACCTTCCTTTACAACTAAATTCAGGATGTGAGCAGCACACCTTAAGTGCATATATTCACCATTCAGTACCAATGCATCATTTCCAATCAGCTTCATTGCTTTCTTGAATTTAGTCAGTGCAGAGCTATTAGCTGTAGCGTTATCCACTGTGATGCAGAACACCCTCCTTATACCCCACTCATCCAAATATTCCAGAAGAACCTTGCAAATTGTTGCACCCTTATGATCAGTCACATGCTTGAATCCAATAATCATCTTCTTTAACTGCCAATCAGAGTCAATAAAATGAGCTGTTATTACCATATAACTCTCTCCAGTATTGTTTGAAACCCATATGTTTGTAGTCAGTGACAACCTCTGCTTGTTCTTCCCAAGAATCTTCTTCATAGCTGCTTTCTTCTTAACATAAAGCAACACAATTTCTCTTGCAGCTGTTCTCCGAGAAACTGGTTTACACAGTTGAGCTTTAGAACAGAAATGTCTCCAAGCCACACTCTCTATGAAAGATAAGGGTAATTCACCTAAAATCAACATCTCAATAGTAGCTTCTCTAATCACTAAATCAGAGACCTTATACACTGTAAGACTACTACCATCTGCACCATTACGACGACCTAAAACAGTTTGAGAATGTTCTTTATTGGTACTTTCCCATACCTTGAATGCTTTGCAGGTCAATTCAAGATGCTTCTTCAAGGTAGAGGTGCCAGACTTGGAAGGACAAGCCAACTCTTTCCCACAGTAATTACAATTGCACTTGTCTTGATTCTTTTTCTGTCTGGTGAAGTGATCCCAAACATAGGACCGACTAGTTGTCTTCTTTTTCTTCTTAGAACTACTACCTCCGTCACCTTTATCTCCAGTTTCTCTCTTTTTACGCTTCTCCTTTCTTCCAGAAGTAGGAGTTTGAACCTCATCTTCATCATGTTCACTTAAATCAACATCATCAAAATCTTCTGGAGTTTGAGTTTCATTTGACGCCATCTACATTAACAAACTTGACAAAATTAACAACAAAAACTTGACAAAACTTGACTCAAATCAACAAAATTGACTCACATCAGATAAAAATTAAAAATACTAGCTGCATTCTTCATAAATTACATGTATTCTGAAACATTTTTTATTGCATAATATCAAATTTATATGATTTACATAGGTTTTTTTACAGAACATGAAAGCTTATGTCTTGCAATAAGAAAAACTATCATAGCTTATGGCATGTAATAAGAAAAGCTATCATAGTCTAAAGATTCAGAGTTCAGACATTTCATTGAGAAGAGAGAAACAAAGAGACAAAGACACCAGAAAAATTCAAGACTTAAACATCTACACAAAGACATCGATGAATCTTTCAAAAAGCACAAACATTTGACTGTATCTTACTATCTTTCATGACATTGACTAAATTAAATCGGAACAAGAATCATCTAGCCTTTAACAACAAGAACTAGAATGATACGGAATAAAAGCTGCAATCAACAAGAACTAAAATCGAAAATTCGAAACCATTTCACGACAGATCTATTGCTACAACTATCAATTGCAAAATAAAATCGGCACTAGAATTGCAAAAGAAAAACTCGAGACCCAGAATTACAATTGCAAGAACCCAAGAACTAACCTCTGAATGATTTCGCGATAGAGCTGTTGGTGTTGAGTTGATCTGAATATTCGGTGACGGTAAGGTCGCTGAGAGTGTAGCAACGAGGGTTTCCAGTTTTGAATTTTGATAATGTGACTCAAGAAGAGATTTTAATCAAGGAAGCCGAGATACTAGGGCAGTAGGGGAGAAGGAAACTCAAGCGACGAAACTTAAAAATTAAAATCTAGGGTATATACATATAAGAGTATATCTAATTATCTATATATATATATATATATATATATATATATATATATATATAAATATATGTTTATTGTTTCGGGTTTATGGGTACCCGAAATGGGTAACGGGTAATACCCGACCCAAACCGATACCCACGGGTAAACCAATACTCTACCCAATGAGGTAATTTTCTAATACCCTAACCCGTTCCAACCCGGTTTTTTCGGTTCGGGTATCGGTTCGGGTATCGGGTCCGGGTTTTTTGCCCAGGCCTAGTAAAAACAGTCATTTTAAAAGGCACATTAAGATATAAAATAGATCATGAAACAAAGGATTATCCATAGGAACAAAAGCTAACACAAGTCATGGATTTGAAAGACATAAAATAGAACAAAGCAAGATGGGCAAACATCCAAAGCCCCATAATGGACTAAACCACAATCTGGTATAACGTTTAAGCCCCTGTACCCTCGGTAAAGATGCTTTCCTGTTGGACCCATGTCTGATATCTGAGCCATCACCTGGTCAGCGCAATTAACAGCTTCTTGGAAAGTTGAAAACTTCTCCAAATACTTTTTGAGTATCATACTTCCTTCACAAGGATTTCCGCATAAAGCATAGAAAATGCCAAAAGCAAAATAGGAATGTATGTTGTGAATCGCAGCTTCACCAAGCATATCAAGAGATTGAACAGAAGGGCCAACAAGTGCAGCTAGTCGTAACCCTTCAATGTATTTGGCAGTGTTGTTGTTAGAATGTAGACATCTAAGCAAAAATGGGCGGTACGGTGAGCCTTCAATGCATAAAGAGGCGACAAAAACAAACTCATCAAGACAAACCTCCTTTAATACTTCAGCAGAAAATACGATGGCTGACCATTCAGGGCCAGCCGCGATGAATGGACCGAGATGACGAAAACCAGAAATACCAATCCGACGAACTATGTCTGTAACCAAAGGTAAAAGAATGTAAGAAGACATTTAGAAAAAAAAACACAGAACAATCCTTTAAATATAGATTTTTGGAGATTTGGGTTTAATTTGAAGCACTTACTGAAAGAACTGATATTTGCCAACAGAAAGCGATTAAGGAGATGAAGTCGGAGACCCTAGATTTATAAGGATATTTCCCAAATTTAAAACGGCAGCGTTTTAATAAGTTGTTCATTGTGGACAGCATATTAAATGATTAATCCATTATGTACTATCCACACAAGTAAATCAGACGACAAAGTGTAAAACTAAGACAAAAATTCCCCAGTCCATAGTTCTGCAGATAAATTTAGGGTTTAGGAAACATAAGGTGATTTAACATCAATTGAGCAGTATGTGGTTTTACTCTTGTTCACCCATGTGGAATATTACTGAAATGGAATGTGTCCATGTAAACAAATCCACATGCCATATATTGTAATAATATATAAGAAAATATAACATAAAAAAGATAGGGGAGCTAGATTAATAGTAGATGATAATGTACATTTTACATCAAACAAATAGAGCTAGCCGAGAAATAAGTTTGAAAGGAAAAGGAAAGGAGATAAGAAGCAACAATGTCTACAACAAATTAAATAGATTAGTAGTTGAGCTACCTATTTGTAAAGAGGTGCCACAAGTTCTTGAAACAGATCTATAGCATATTGACCCCTGAAATCATCAACAATTTCATTTGTTATAAGAGCCATTTTCTCTGCATCTCCACCATTGACATATATTTCAATGAACTTCATTGACACAGGTCCACAGTCCCCACTCCTCTTGTTGACATAGATCTCTTTCATTCTTGTCCAACGGAAAGGATCCAAGCCATGTACCTGAGACAGACGTGGCTTGCAAAATTTGTTAATTATATACGGGAGTTGGATCACAATAGGTGCCATGTACTCATTGACTTTGTCATCATCGTTTAGAGGGTAGTTTGGATCAAGTATGTCGACACACCATGTGCCTAAGTTGATTGCCAGTCCTACCCAATGCTTGTTTTTCCAAATCATTGGCATGAAGATAAGATCTATTTCTTCAAACCATTCTGATGGAGATCCAGGAATAGCCCGCTTGAACTGTTGATTTCATTGAACGCGCAACTTTTGTTTTACAGCTAGGAAAGAAGGGTACTTCCCTTGTAGGTAGTTGCCTAGCCACGGTTTGATAATTACAGCGCGTTCTTGAGAGAGTGTCAATATGTGCCTTTCATCTAGGAAAGTTCCTAGAACCTCCATGTGCTGCAAAATGATAGAAATGCGCAAGTGGAATAACCATATTAAACATTGGGGAAATAAAATGTAATTAAGTATGGGACATGTCTTACCATGGTTGGTTGCCTGAAATTAGAACATAATGTTAGCTGGGCAAGCTGGACTAGGAATTTGTTGGTTATCACAATATCACAGCGTGTTAGGTGTTGCCTGAAATTAGAACATAATGTTAGATAGTGGAAAAGGAAACCAAAGTAAAAGGAAAAGGAATGTCATTACGTATGTGGTGCCTTTCGAAGGATGTCCATGAACACTTTGAAAAATGTTTTGTCCAAACGAGGTAACAGGTCATACTGTTTTGTAGGTGAGTTTCTGGGAAGATTTAGAACCAACTCAACAAGTTTGGCCTCTTTGTTTGACAAAGTAGTTGGCTTCCGTTCTCTTGCAGGAGATGAATCACTGACATCAACAACATCTCCACTTTTGACAGCAGAATCCTGAGATTTTATAAGAAAATATAATGAGAAAACCATAAATTAAAACTACAGTCAAACGATCACCAGGGTATTATACCTCATCATCATCATTTTCAATATCATCATCTTTTTCTTGTTGAGTATCTGCGGCCATCTACATGATGAAGAAACAAGTGGTAAGATAAACAAAATGGGCATAAAGTTTTATGTGAAAATACAAGATAAAAATACCTTGGTCACTGGAGAAACTGGGCCTTGAATGGAGAAGTTGAGAGAGTCTTGGAGAACAGGAGGGTCAATTTTGGGAGGATAGATAGAGGTGGTTTCAATCTGGTGACAGGTTGTTAGAAGATTATTAAAACCAGGTATCCACATGGATACGGATCGGATGAACAAGGAATAATTAAAATAACAGTTAGCCATGTGGACATCGTAGATTAAAATTACCTCCGAGTGTTTTACCAAAACAAAATTTGTTTCAATACCATCAGACTTGATTCCATCGGGTAGATCATCTTGGGGGGTTATCTGCAACGTAATTAAATTGTTTAACATTTGCTTTTATAGAGTGATGTTAATTATTTTGTAAGGTTTAGAATTTATAAATTAATGTAACTGGAGCAAAGGAAGTTACAAAGTTAAGTATCGACTTAATTGACAAACCATAAAAAATACAACTATTCACGTGGACAGCCTCGTTTAAAATACCTCAGAGTTTTGAAGTTTATCAGAATTTGATACAATATCATCAGAAATGTTTGCATCAGGTTGATCATCTTGAGGGATTATCTGAATCGTCATTAAATTGGTTTAGTATTGGAATTTATGGAATGATGTTTGAAACAAATCTTAAAAATTGGAGTATGGTAAAAGGTTACCTTTGAATCATCAACAGCAAGAAACTCTTCTTGTGATGGTAGGGAATCCACATCTGCAGCAGCAATAGTAGGACTTATAGACTTGCAAATTGATTGAACCAATGTGTCAACGTTATGCGCGAAGGCCAAGTCTCCAATGTTGATCTCCTGGATCAGATTGAAAGTGGTAAAAGATTAACCAGATGAGTAAAATACATTTATGGGAAACTCAAACGATTGATAAACCCCTTAGTGGAAAAGAACCTCAGATCCATCAATAGAAGAGGGTTTCTTTGCAGTATCATAAACAGCAGCAAGTTGAGGAGAAGGCAGAGGCTAGGTATAAAAATAGTTAAATATTTTTATGTACAGACAAATATTCTAAAAATCTTACCTCGTCTCTAAGTTTAGACTCAGGATTGATCAGACTGTGGAGCCTCTGTGCTATCAGCAGATAAATACTTTGATGGAGATTCTTTCTGAAAAGATTAATAATCTAAGAAGACATGATCCATTTAGGAAACAATAGAGTAAAAGATTCTAAAATCCCATTACCAGATAGTTCTGAGGGGAAGTAACTGAATCCATGTTAGTATTCCCGGAATTCCCTGCCTGTATGATAAAAATGTGATAAGTGTAATACGTTAGGAAAAGTAAGTCAAATGCGATGTTTGGAAGCAACAAGAGTAGCAGGTTGTCCTGACACCATCAACAAGAATTGACCTGTTGAGAAGTTATTCGACGCCATGTCATATCATCAACAAGCATAGCAGGTTCTCCTGACACTGCATTGTCTTCCTCATGCATTGAAGTTAATGGACTTGAAGGGGGAGTTCGGATGTTTTGAGAATCTACAGCAGCCTTCACAGGAGATTCAGACAGAATGGGGTGTTTAGCTGCTTTATGTACTTTTCTGGATGGAGGACAAGTTGACTGTCTAGAGCGAGAGAATTTGTGATATTGAAATTTTGGCATCTTCAGAGATCTCAGGGCCTTAATCTTTTTCAGAAGATTCACATTCTGAGCTCTTAACTTCTTAACACTCTCCGCAAATTCATGTCTTACAGCATCCAACTACGAATTCACCCACAGTTTTATATCATCTGCCTCATCATCATCAACCAAATCAAACTTACGCTTCCTGCCTCGCCTTGAAGTAACGACTTTCGATTTTGATTGAGTTCCCTTTGAAGAAGGAGTTGGTGTATGTTTCCTTTTCCTATTGACTATATGTTTCTTGTGTTCAACAACAGGTTCCTTTTCATTGACAGAAATGAGCTGTAGATCAGCATAGCCACCAAGCCACTCTTTTTTGGTGAATTCATGACATTTCCTTATCTGCTCAATCAAATACAGCACATTCTTGTCTCTCACTTCATCATCCCAATCTCCCCATCCTTCTTCGTTGTGGTCAACAAAAAGCAGAGGAGTAACAACCAACTGAACAGACAAAAACAATAATGAGAACACATGAAAGTTAAAAACTATATAAATGTTTAAAATAACTTACATCAGGATCACGTTCAAGGAGATGAACTTCATTTAGGGAAAGATTGTTTTTGGGAATACCAATTGAATGCCATTCCAAGAAGGTTATATCATCTGAAGAACCAGGAATCTTGTCAAGTAGACCAGATATGTTCCTATAAGCAAGAAGTTGCAGGCCCAAAGGAAAGCCATAGATAGCTATAGTTTGCTGTTGCATCTGATTTGTAAAGAGTTGGATGGGATCTTGAATCTTGGACGCTGCGCGTGACCTTTTTCTCTTCGATTCTGCCATTGACGGTTTGTTTCTTCCAGGCCTCATTACCTGTATAGTCTTCAAGAAAGATTCTCTCCCCCATGGGAAAGAAAGGAAGGAGTCAATGTTTTCCAACATATTCACATACTTATATGTTGGCCGATGAGTCTGATTATTGGCTATAAGGACTCCATCAACAATAAGCAGAACAGCTAGTGGCAGTTTCAAAGGGTCTTCAATCCCTTTCAATGCCTGGAACTTAACGGATACATCAGCTAATGTAGCATTCTTATCTTTACCAATCAACACATCCCAGTAATCGTTCACCCCATTCACACGTTTAGGGAAGAAATCTGGATCATACTCCTCGGGGAATTCACCACAAGGCAACCCAGTTACAGAACCAAACTCAACTAAAGAGAATCTTAATGGCTGTCCACCAAAAACCGTCCACATTTCGTATTTTTGTTTTGATAGCAGTTGTCTACATAACAGAGCATGAACTAATTTGCAAGAAATTGGGCATTCACTTACCCTTAAACTAAATAGAGAACCAAAACACGAGTCCAATATGGTTTCCATTTCTTTGGTACCTTCAAGAACATCACATATGACTGTGAGTATATCGGGTTTGGAGTAAATATTCAGACGAGCGTCGGGGTAACGGTCAGTGGCAAAAAGCCTTGGAGGGAGTCTCAAATCCCAGGCAATTGCCGCTTCTTCCGCCGCACCTGCAAATAAGTTGACAAGTATTGATGAAACTATAGAATATAAAGTGAGATCAAAGAAAATAAGATATCGATTACCTGTCATTGATACTTTTGAGAAATGGAGAAGTGGAGAAACGGAGAAGATGACCGCCGTTCTTTTCTCGACGGAATTGAGTTTCAATTTATGTCACGGTCGACGAACTGGGTTTAGAATTATCGGATACTCTTGACGAACTGGAGCTGAATTTTAGAATTTACAGGACCTGAAGTTTGTTTACGGAAGTGGAGAAGTGAAGATTTTTCACCGCCGTTTCTTTTACTCGCCGGAATAGAGTTTTCTAGGTCAT